TCGGGCACTACACCAGAGCGCCAGGAGTTTTCAAAGATTGAAGCACAAACAACTGTAACTTCATTGGGATGAGCTAGAAACGGGGCTGTGAAATAGGACGTAGTTACCTGGGGCAGTTCGCAGTGGGATTTCAGAAGAAAGGCTAGCTTGATTGGTGGAACAGCAAGACCATTGATTAAAAAGGATAGAGGGGCTTTGACCCCTGTGCAGTGAAGAGTTTAGAAAGAATCATGTGGGGTTTAATTAGCCAGGAAGTCAGCTGGTTCCCTCAGCACTGCCCCAACAGAAATGCATCTCAATGCATCTCTCATTGCTGAACAAGAAAGATTTCTACACTTCCCTGCCTGCTATCTGACACCACCAGGGAAAAAATCCTGCTTGGTCTACACAACAAAGAGCAAGCTCACAAAGCGACTCGCATGGACTCAGAGGAACAGTTTTCCAGCTTCTGCTTCCTCTGTGCAAAAATGAAGTTTATTTCCTACATATGGGGACTTTTTACCATCTTGAACTTTCCTTGATCCTGAAAGCATGCAAAAAAAAATTATTTTTTTTTGCAATGTCTCAGTTGGGCTAATAAAAGGTATCATTTTGGAACCAGGAGTTCTAGATTTTTACATTTCTTTTTGTTTCAAACAAACACTGCTACCACATACATCCTTTTCTCACTGCCAGGCAGTTTTAAGCTTTGGATGGAGCAGGAATTAAAGTGTGTGTGGGGGGGAGGGGGCACCAGTGCTTTCTATCCCCATCCACTCCTGTACCTAGCTATAGTTTCGTTAACAGTCACTAATCAAGTGTCTTTACAGCTTTTGCCAAAGCAGTACAATGAAATGAGGAACAACAATTATATATGATAAGATAACAGTGAACGTAAATTATCATTTTTGCTAAAATGCCATAAGGTGATCCATGCTACCAGCTTATGCAGAGTTAAAGGAGAACATAGTACATAATGATATAAAAGAATGCTCATGCATTGCTGAACATTTAAACAACCTAGGAGTATTCTCTTTGAACTTGTCTCTTATTCTTTGTGCAAGTAATGCAAACTCACCTAAGCAGTGTAGGACGGTCTCCGAAGTGTTAGAGAGAAGCCAGATTGTTTTTTCTTTATTTGTCCAGTGTTTACAATTTCCCATTAATGGAGAGAGCCATTTTCCTTTTATTTCTTCAAAAAAACAAACAAAGCCACAAATATAGATTTTAGTTATCTATCTAATTCTTCCCACAAGAGCATATTCTGTCTGAATAGAATCAAACTTAAAACTGTGGCTGCCTGCGGGAGCTCCCCGCTTGCTGCTGCTATGCTCCCGCCGCCGACAGTGCCACTGCCGCCTGCGGGAGCTTGCTGTGCCCCCCTGCCCCCCCGGCCCCAATCCTCTGGGGTTACACGGCATTCATGATCAACTGTATATTTGCCATTAAATGGCCAGTTCTTTTTTCATTACTAGACCACAGTATAGGGTGTAAATATTGAAACCATATGACTGTGGTCATTGAACTGGGTTAAGGGAGCACTGTTAATGGAAGATAAATGTATGTTTTACATGACTACATGTATCTTTAAATGTTATATTTGTTATTTGGTAAGTTGGATTTCTTAATAAATAAAGTTAAAAAACCAGATCTGACTCTTCTTGGACTCAGAAGTGTTTAAAATTTTTACCTTTAAACTTGCCTTTCCATAAAGATAATTGAATAAAAGTGCCAGGAATGTCCATTTTTTCATCATAATACTTCATAGTTTCTGCAACATCTCAGACAACATGATAATAAATTACTACAGAATAAAGTCCACAGATTTGCCATTTTGATCTTCTTCAGATTGCCCCCAGTTTGGGCTTTCTCAGCCTATTCCATGGAGTTGGCAATGGATTCTAAATGAACGACTGCCAAATAACTTTTTGTTAATAATTGATTTCAGTTCTCTGGCAAGGATAACACTCCAATAAATGAATGCCTCCAGATCCTGGTTCAAGTTTATTTCAAGAGGAAGGGGGCATTCATCCTTCCAACCAAATGTAAGTATTTTGCAGAATATCTCTATAGGATTACATTATGTAGGTTTATTTGTTTGTAAATGTTCTAGAAATATATAGTGAATGTAGAAGAGACTTCTTATTTCCTTAATCTTTTAGGCTTCAGTTGCTTAACCATTAAAAATGTAAGTACTACCCTTGGAATAACAGGACTACTAGCATGTTTAAAGTAAGGCATGTGCATAAGTATTTAAGGCCTTGTCCTATATTTTTTATTTAAGAAGTAACTTCTGGTATAATTTCTTTCTGTCCAGATATATTGGAAAGAGTCCAGTAGTACAGTGGGCAGTGTTCCACCTAAAGAGGCAGACACATCTTGGAAGTGATCTCTTATTCAATATCCATGATTATTCTACAAATAATCTGGTTGGTATTTTTAAGTTTGTGTTACGTGTCTGTAATAATTTGTAATGTTGGCTCCAATCCTGCAATCTGCTGTGTGCATGTGGTGTGTATATACATGCTTCCATGAGGCGCTACATAAATTGGAAATCAGAATGCAGGTGTGGTTGTCTCCTACATTTTTCACCATAAATTCCTGTTGATTTCAGCAGGATCTGGGTATGCAAAGAATTCAGAATCTGGTCTTAGACCTTTTCAATATTTGTACTAATAAGGGCTTGATGTGTTATTTAATGTATTAGATCTTTGTTCTAATTAAGAAGTAAGTATATATTCCTGGACAGTTCATCATTCCCGTGAAATTGAAAACACAGTATCTTTATTATTTTAGGACAGAATGTGAAATAACCACTTTCAAAAATGCTTTCAGGTCACCTCCATGTGATCAGAATGCAAAGCACCTTACCAGAATGAACTTTCTAGTTATAGAAACATAGAA